AATTTTTATAAATCAGTGCCAGAGTGAATCTCGATCTGTATTCAAGGTATGTCCTTTCCACTTCTGTTATAATAGAGACTTCGGTTGAGCTGATAAGGGCGGGTTAGCGAAGTGCAATCCTGGGCTTGGTGCCTAGGAGGTCTACGATCAGAGCGCACTCACATCCCTTGCAGTCACTGATCTCCGACCACCCTACGTTTGCTTCTTCTTGCTTAGAGCTGAAAACCTTCTCTAAGACCCTACTTCATATAGACAGAACGAAAGAAAGGAGGTCGGTAAAAGTTAGGCCCATTGAGCTCAAGATCTCTAGAGCGAAAAGAAGCCGTACAACACCTTTCACTCATAGAAGAAGTGAGCGCTTCGGTTCCCCATAGGAGAACCTATGCTTGACCCTGCTAACGAAAGGGCCCCAGCCCCCAAGGGGCGAGGAAAGACAAGAACGAACAGAGGAAGGAGCAGCGTAGCAAGAAAAAGGCCTAGCGCTTAGGTCCCTTGCTCGTCAGTCTGTCTTTCCCCTTGGGTTCGTTCAATCAAAACGAAATTTCCATTGAGTGGGGATCAAAACTACTTATAAAAGGATATACCACCTGTTGCCACATTTGCTTATTCAACTTCAAAAAAGAGTTCGCTACGGACTATCTGATGAGCTACTAAGTATGAACTTAGGACAGCTAACACCGTTACGTGAGTGGCTCACTACTTCATCTTTCCACTACTTCACCTGCTAACAACCTTACTTTCGTAGACTGATTGTAGTTCTCTTTCCCCGCCTATCGTTGAAGTTTATCCTGAACCTGCTAACTACTTGACTGAGACTGAGCTTACCTACTTCACTTCCTTACCTCCTCCCCTTTCTTCTCACTTGACTGGCTCACTACTTACTATCTATAAACCATAAAGAGAAAGCATTGGTACCGTACTGGCTTGCCCGGAATGCAAGGACTGATTGGAATGACTCACTGATTGGCTTGCTTGCTTTCCCTTACCCTATTGCTATTGCTAGCATTAGCACTACCTCGACGTCCCACAGCTGATTCTCAAGCAGCAGATTCTGGGCATGGAGATCCAATTTCTGATTCACCTGTTCCAAGGAAGAGATAGAATATCTAATTCAATTAGCAGATCAGATGTAGCATTAGTTCTTTAATACTTTATTTAAGGTGCGAATGCGGGAAGGTGCCTAGCCTTTACATATGAATCTGACTCTACCTTATTCAATTCAAGTAGGCTGTTTTCGGGATAGTGCTAACCTTCCTAGAATATAAGTCTTTCGATATAATAATCTAATCAGGCTATTTGGCTAGAATCTTATTCCTTTCTATCCCTTGATGTGAAGAAAGGGGAAGGGATCGTCATGCAAGAACTAGAAGAGGCTCCTCTAAGAGGTGGTCCTTCCTTCTATTGATCGGTTGAGTCGACGAGAGCTTTCCGAGAGATTCTCATAGATCGGATGATCCTGAGACCTATTGTACCTCAGTTGGGGAATCTTCCTGCGACTAAGCTATTTGTCTGGCCAGTCGCTTCTC